TGAGTGGAAACATCTGGAGGCCATATAGGGGAACTTTCTGAGTTCCCCCTGACTGATACCGATCATGTGACTTGACGTCATCATTGTAATAAAAACCTTGTGACGTGGTTGTTCGGTGGGAGATCAGCGCTTAGAGCCTTGTACTGCTCATCTTCCCCATATGTACATATGTATAATAAAATCACCTACGGTATTCTGACATCCACTGAGACCATGCAGCCGTTTGTCTTTTCCTCAAATTCGAACCATGACAATCGCAACAAAAATTCATGTTATAGGCCAGAAGTACCGATCCTGGACAAGCCCCCAAATTTATTTTTAACCAAGGTTTAAATACCTTTTGTAGAGGCATATCTGCCTCTGTTCATGAACACTCCCACAAATGCTCCTGGTCACATTCCTGACCCGAAGTATCCCAGGTCTCAACTCTCACAAGCAATGATCCTTGGCACAAAAGTCAACGGTTAGTTTTACACAGAAGGGATTTAAAATGATCAGGACAGGATTTCTAGAGAGTGACCCAAACTGAAAGCAGCACTGTAAACCGTTCAGTGGTGCAAAAGGAGATAACCTTGAAGGGGGGCTGTGGCCAAATTTATATGTAGTATCACTTTTGCTTATTATTGTTGTACAAGGTTTTTTTTTTTAAATTCCAATTCTCAAAGTCAAAATGTCCTCTGAATTAAAGGTGTTTATTTATTCCAAACCTGTCTGTGGTGAAGCTGTTAAAGCCTCCATCCCCGACATGGGACCCGATAACATTGAAACATCCAACATCTGGACAGTGCCTGAGAGACCTGTTTATCTGCCCCATGAGTCTCTGTAAGAATGAAACTGTTTCTCATCGTCTTGTCTTCAACAGTTTGTGTACAGAACTTTCTATCCTCAAAATATGAACTGTATCTCTGGAGCCGACAACCTTCTTTTATAAAATATCAGATTTTTTTTGAAGCAATTTCTTGCTTCAAATGGCAAAAAGAATTGAGCCAGGTTCTTTCACAAGAAAGCAACATTTTAAAAAAGCGATGTAGTCAAATTACACTTATGACATTGTCAAAGAGGACCCATTATGTTCATTTCCCCTCCATATTTTTATTCTTAGGCTCTACAGGAGTGGCTTTGCATGATTCAGAGTTAAAAATTATTTATCTTACAGGTATTACCAGTCCATTTACCATGAGCACCAACCATTGGAACAATATCTATGGCAAAAATGTGACAGGTTCTTCCGCTCACTGAAATAAACCAACATTTTAAAGTCTACTTTGACAATGCTCGTTGATTACTTGCTTGCTCACACTCAGGTTTTGGGGTTCTGTGTCAGCATCACATAAATAAATCTCTTATTTTTTAAAAAAAAAATCATAATTCATATTATAGTTGTCACAATAGTCTTTATTTTGCAAACACAGTAACTTTGTAGCTGATGCTTACAACATATAAAATCTTACAAAACAAATCTGAAGGCTGATCAGATGAATCCTAGTCAACAAATTACCAAAAAACTTTGGGCTTTGTCATGTTATGCACATGGTTTTACTTGTCCAACCTTTTTAATGACCTGCAGAGTGTTGGCCTGAACATAGATTTTAAAATCAAGTCAACTGGAGAAGACCCCAAGCATAAAATAAGCAGGATTTTCTCTTATAATTACAGTAAGTATAAGAGACCTCTGTTCATTTCTTGAAGATCTTGTCATGATTCATTCAGTCATGCTAAGCTCATCAATCACAGACAGAGGCCGTTTCCCATTCACTAATCAGCTCTGTATCTAAACATTTTAGCCTCTGTCCATGAAACCCATCACTTTGTCCAGATTTGTTTAATGTAAATGATGAAGTGCTGAGTTTCAAAGACAGTAATGGACTCGAAACTGATTATCTGTGTTGTCCGTTGACTTTTGAGCTGCCAGCTGTTCTTCCATGTTTGTAATCCGTTTTCTTGTAGCGGTGACCATTTTTCCAAACACTTTTACTAATTTCCCAGATTCCAAACAAATTCCCATCCACTGTAATTACACAGCAGTGTGTCAGGTTGTATCCACTTCCTGAAAAATGTTCCCATTTGCTGCTTCAATCACTCAGTCATGCAGGTGTTGGTGCCACAGAGGCAGTAATGGGTTAAACATCAGCAGTTTGTTTGGAAGAAACAGGTCTACTTGTTCAGATTCTCCAGCAGGATTTCCACGCCTTTGTTGTTGCTGATGCTGCTAAGCTCCGACCTGATGGACTCCAGCGCCGCCTTCACCTCCGCAGCCACAGACTTGTCACAGCTGTTCAGCAAACTGCAAAGAAACCCCGCCCCCCAAAACTTTAATTTACAAAAAAAGAGGGCAAACGGTTTCTTTGTGATACCAGAGTCGCCCCCTGTTGGTCCTTAGAACAAACACATGGTTATCTTCAGTTTAAAATCAGCTGGAAGTGCCATGTTTTCACATGTTCTTTGAGCATGTTTTAAAATCAGTATCGATTATCTGCTCTTGATAGATTTTTAATCACCGTTTTATCATCATCTGATAATATCTAGGATAGAAGTAGGCAGCACGCAGAGGTTATTTTGTGCTAAAGAAGAGTCATGTGACATTTGACATTATGATACCCTTCATCCCTGACTGGGGTTTGAGTTTTTGTCCAGCCAGTTAATAAAAAGACTATCTGAGCTGAACTTCAGTTGTTATACAACCCTCAAGAAACACCCTCTGAAGTGATAGAAATGTGTTTGTTCACCGACCTGCAGAGCACCATGGCTCCTCTGTTGACTTTGGCCCAGCTCTTCATCTTATTTGTTCCTACTGTGTCCACGAGGATCCTCCCAAATCGCTCTGAGAGGGTAAAACAGACAGGCAGAGATTAACAAGATACAGAGATAAGAGATAAGAAGATATATAGTTTCCACTTTCTAGCTCTGATGTGAAGTGATTTTCCTGCAGGTATGTAGGAGTATTGCAGTTTGTGGTGGTTTGTGGTTCTGTTGTTCAGCTCAGCAGAGACACACTCCAAAGCTGTGTGTTTGGCTTTTAGTCCACTGAATACCACCTGTCTGCTTCTAGCGTACTCGTGTTTTTAAAAAGTTCACTTCTTTCTTTTGATCCATAGCTATAACTGACTAAATCCTCAATCGGGTTAGAGGGGACAGGCACTAAGCTGTTTTCACACATGTGGCCATTAACATTTGGAGACAATGCTCTAGAGAGTTGCCAATGAGAACACAATGTCCAGCTCAGTTGAATCAGGCATTAGCTGGTCTTTAACCTGGCGGTATGTTAGAAGTGTGACAGCTGGACACTGGACCTTGTTTTTACTTTGGGTATAACTATTGATTTTATTTACTCTGAGGACATTTTTATTTGTGATCACCATGTTATTGTTTTTAACATGTCTTTTAATGAGCTTTTGTCCCCTGTTCAACGGATACTTAGCTCTCGTATCTTAGACTCCTCCACAGCTAAGACATTTGCAGATGCTTTTAACCTACTATCTCCTCATAATGATGTTGATTATTCAACCAATCTTTTGAATAATTATTGCCTTTCTATTTTAGATGAAATTTGTCCGGTTAAAACGAGAGTTTCTGCTTGCAAATCTCCTTCTTGGCTAAATGACAGTATTTGCGGTCTAAAACATGATTGTTGTAAAGCGGAGCGCAGGTGGAGGAAAACCCATCTAAATGTTCATCTCCTCTACCTAAAGGACCTTTTAGCTTCTTTTAATAATGCTATCAGAGATGCGAGGGCTGCCTATTTCTCACACTTAGTTACAAAGAGCAGAGGTAATCCTAAGGTGCTATTCAACACAATTAGTGACATTGTTACTCCTGCTCTTCCTGCAGCCCCTATTTCATCTAATGAGGACGACTGTGACAGTTTTCTTTCTTTTCTGCTTGCAATGATGAAGAATGTAAGAATAAATTTTTCTCATTCAGCACCTGTTCTGTCGATCTCAACCCCATCTCGGCACGTCATTTTGGATACTTTCTCTCCCGTTTCACTACCTGAGCTGGTAAAACTAGCGAATTCAGTAAAAACATCCTCTTGTCCACTTGACATTGTTCCTGCATCATCATTCAAAAATGTCTTCCAGGTAATTGGTCCATCTGTGCTCACTCTAATCAACTCTTCACTGGCGTCTGGTATAGTTCCGGTTTATCTTAAAAATGCTGCTATTCTCCCACTTTTAAAAAAACCTCAGCTAGACCCCACTCTTTGGAGCAGCTACAGACCTATCTCTAAATTACTGTTAATTGCTAAGCTTCTAGAAAAGGTTGTGGCTAAGCAACTTATAGCAGCTCTGGACAAACA